TTTAGATTGATTGGACAGACCAGACCATTTAATCCAAAAAACATGTCATGATCATTAGAATTGACCACCACTATCAATGGAATCCATTTTTTTATTATCTTTTTTTTTCTTTTTAAAAGGATCAAATATTATTTCTTCTTATTTTGTGTCTCGCTCAATTCAATCTTGAGATAGTCTTCATTAAGCAGGCAGAAAATGATTTCAAAATTGCTACCATCTCTTCAATTGCACAAAACAAAGCTTGATTAGCCCATCAATCGTGACATGATTCAAGAAATAGTGATATGCATAGTATCTTGTCAGCAGTTGACAATTTTTGAATACAAGGTTCAATTATTGTTGGAGGGTGGAAACAGTATAACAAATTTGAAGTTGGAAGTTCTGAACAACTAGAGATGTTTTCAAGATTATCAAGGTGAGCTGACTAGCAAAAGAAAGCAGTCAATCTCAAGCTAAAATTAGCTTCAAATACTATACCATTTTAGGCCTATGGCCACACTAAATCTGGACAACGCTTGTAAAGTGTTGCCTAAAATATTTTTGGGAATGCTTTTAAAATGTAGCCTAAATTTTTAACTTTTGGCATCGATAATATTGGCAACACTTGTAAAGCGTACTCTTTAATGGTATAGACTACACTTTATAAGCGTTGTCATAAAATGAAATAAATGGCAACAACTATTTACATATATGGCCACACTTTTAAAGTGTCCTATTTTTATATTTATAAAAACAACACATTAAAAGTGTGGCCTTAGAGTTTTCACCAAAATATTATATTCCCTCCAACATTTTTAACTCTCCCTCCCATTTTTATTGGCCAAAAATATTAATTGATAAAACATTAATAAAAACTTTTCTTTCTCTTCTTTCCTAGAACATACGATTTACTCTTCTTTCCTTGAACATAACTCTTTGTCTGTAAAACAAACTTTTCTCCAGAACTGAAGAGCTGAAGAGCTGAAGAGCTGAGCTGAAGAGCTGAAGAGCTGAGCTGAAGATTTTCTTCTCCAGAACCCGATTTTCTCGAAGAGATGAAGAGCTGAAGCTAAAGAACTGAGGATTGAAGAACTGAAGAGAGGAAGCTGAAGAGCTGAGCTAAAGATTTCTCCTATACTGATTTCATGAAGCGTAAGTACCGATTTCGTACAGCTGAGATTCCTTTTTATTCTCTACTAATCATCTAGTACTAAAAACAGTCAATTGATTGAATTTTTGTTTTGTGTTTAGAAGGAATTGATTACTTTGGGGGTTCTTAGAGATGAAATTTCAAAGTAGGGGAAGAAATTGCGAAAAATCTGAACGTCAAAGTTAGCCCTAGGCATATTGAGCAGACGAGAAATAGGGAATTACTACTCGAAAGCATTTGAGTCAGTAAGTATCTATCTTTGTTTTCCTTAATATTATAAATTTTGAATTAAACTATTCAGCTCCGTAGTGTTCAAGACTATAGTAATGCAAAGAAGCCACAAGTATAACTCAGTAAGCTCAACTACACAAAACATTACAGTCTCTAAAATCCTATAACTCTGTAAGCTCAGCTACACAAAAGTATAGCCAAATAAAATCCTATAATCCTATAACTCTGTCTCCGTAGTGTTCAAGTCTAACATACTCACAAGTATAGCCAAATAATCCTATAACTCTGTAAGCTCTGCTACACAAAACATTACAGTCTCTAAAATCTTAATTCTTGAAAATGTATGCCTATAGAGATACTTTGTGTATGCAGTTTATTAAGTTGTTGGATATTGCTTCCCAGAGGATTTTTTCGATATGTAGTCCAGACAGTTTTATTTCTTTTGTCAGTTTTAGTTGCCCATCAATCTTGGGTAGTTTAATTTACTTTCATTGGAGGTTGGCTGATATTTGGAATATTACTTTCTTATTCCTGTGCTTTTTACAAAAATTACAGAGTCTTCTCTTTTGATATGTAGCAATACTTTATATTGGATGTTTGGAGGAGTAGGAGTTCCACTGTTAGTTTCTCCTATTTTGTGACTAGAAGCTCCTCTTATTTTTCTGAATGATATTGTTTGCTCATTTGCATAGGGAACATGTTTATTTGACCAGATGAACATATTCTTGATTAATACCTTTACCAGTTTTTAAGCTTTTCAGCTCTAGAACAGTCTACTCAGGAAATTTGGGTTGGAGAATAGATATAAAGTTGTGTATGACAAAGTGCTGGTTCTATTTTCTTGTAAATTTCTAACAAGACTAAAAAAAATCCAAACAAATATTGTAACTCAATATACCAAAGCAACAAACTTCTATACAAAACAGAACACGAAAGAATTGAATAAGAAAAGGTTCAGGAGGCAGAACTCTATTCTGCTATTGGAAATAGTCTGACTGCTTGGGAACACAAGGTTCAGGAGGCAGAACTCTGATGTAGAATGGTTGAATATGACTGGTATGTTTCTGAAGAAGGGAGGTGCCTAGGTTCAGATTATAGATTTTTTGATGAAGGAAGCTAAGTGATCTGGTAGTCCTGGCAGGTTCAGATTGTAGGGTGAGTCATGTCAGTTAACTGCAGTAGATAAGAAAATTGATAAGAACACACTCCATATGCCAGCTGCTACTTTACAGTGCAAAAATTGATGCCTAGCACTCTCCAACATTGTCTAATGGCACATATAACATTCATCAGGGCATGTTTTTCCTTCTCTAAAATGCAGTCAACTTTAGCCTTAAAATCTGGTTCAACTTGCCTGCTTTAGATCGTGTTAATTGTTTTCTTCCTATTTTTAGAACTTGGAAGGCTACATAACACTTGAAGTAAAATTAAAGAACTCTTTTTAAAATCAGCTTTCCAGTAAACCTTATCACAAGATTCTGTTAAGCCTTGAACACTTCTAGAGTCTTGAAAATTTTCACAACTCTTCTTATTCAAAGTCCTTCTATTAGTAATATTTCACCCTTTAGGATCCAAGATTATAGCTAATCTTGCTTTAGGTCAGGGATAACTTAGAATGAATAAACTCTACGAAACTTTAAGTTTTTTTGGTGTGATCGACTATCTATTATAGGATCATTGTAATGTTTGCTTGAATGTTTAAACATGGTAGTTGATGTTTGCTTAATCTTGATTAGTTCATTAAATTGTGTCTATCCTATTAATTTAGTTTCTTTCTTAATTGTGTCTATCCTATTAATTTTACTTATTTTTCCTTAGACGTATAATCAACATTCAAAAACATTTGTGGAGGATTCAAGGTTTGATTTGGCATAGCAGAAGCGCCATGACTAGGTACGAAACTATTATCATCTCATAACACCTGATTCTGGTAACTTACTCATGACTTTTAAAACTTATTTGTGAAGTAATTAATGATTTAATGATTGTTACTGGAAGATTAAATATTGATATATTTTTCTAGGAATTCAAATATCCCATCCAAGGATTGGATGGATTTAACAAGGTATAGCAAACCGTATATTGATGGTGTTGAATCATTCCTAGATTTTGCTTACTCTTATGGAGATCCTCAAGGACAAGAAATTCAATGTCCATGTGCAAAATGTTGTAATATTCGTTGGACTCGAAGGAATATAGTGTATGATCATCTAATATGCTATGGATTTGTTAAAGGTTATACTAGATGGATCAATCACGGGGAATGGGATATCAAGTTGAATGTTGACGATGATATGGATTACTCGCGTGATGATATTAATGGGTTGTTAAATGATCAATTTAGAGATGTTGCACAAGCTGAAGGAGTTTATGATGGTCCAAATGAAGATGCCAAGAAATACTATAACTTATTTGAAGAGGCAAGCCAAGAATTATATCCTGGTTGTATAGGATTCTCTAAATTATCATTCACACTTCGTTTATATTTGTTGAAGTGTCTACACAGATGGAGCAATGAATCATTCACTTCTCTTTTAGAGTTATTAAAAGAGGCGATGCCCGAGTTGAACATTCCTCCGTCTTACAATAAGACCAAGTCTATAGTTAAGAATCTCGATCTTGATTATGAGAAAATTGATGCATGTCCAAATGATTGCATATTGTTTAGGAATGATCATAAGGATGATGAATTTTGTCATACTTGCGGAGCTTCACGATATATTAAAAATCCTGAAGTTGATTATGAGGTTGAGCCTTCTAAGAAATCACATCGAGTTTCAGCAAAGACTTTGAGACACTTTCCATTAATTCCTAGACTCAAAAGGTTATTTATGTGCTCAAAGACGGCTGATTCTTTAAGGTGGCATGACGAGGAGCGTTCTAAAGATGGAAAGTTAAGGCATCCCGCTGATGGTCAAGCATGGAAAGATTTTGATAGGTTGCATCCAATTTTCGCACAAGATTCTCGCAATGTAAGACTTGGATTAGCAAGTGATGGGTTCAATCCATTTCGAACCATGACTATATCTCATAGCACATGGCCAGTTATGTTGATGGCGTATAATATGCCGCCTTGGATGTGCATGAAATCTGAATATTCTATACTTTCTTTACTTATACCTGGGCCACGATCATTTGGAAATGACATTGATATTTACTTACAACCATTGATAGATGAGTTAAAATTGTTGTGGGATTCTGGGGTTGAAACATATGATGCTTCAAGAAATCAAACTTTTCAAATGCGAGCAGCTCTTATGTGGACAATCAATGACTTTCCTGCATATGCTATGTTGTCTGGATGGAGTACAAAAGGAAAGTTTGCTTGCCCTTGTTGTAACTATAACACTAATTCTCGCTATCTTAGGCATAGTCGAAAAATGTGTTATATGGATCATCGTATTTTTCTACCCATGGATCATCCATGGAGATCTAACAAAAGATCTTTCAATCGAAAAATTGAATTCAGGCGTCCTCCACCTTTATTAAAGGAAACCGATGTGCTTAATAGCTTACAAGATTTTGAAAATGTATTTGGAAAGAAGAGAAAGAGATCAAATGATGGCCCATGGAAAAAAAGTCAATCTTTTTTGAATTACCTTATTGGCAACACAACTTGTTACGCCACAACCTTGATGTAATGCACATAGAGAAGAACATAGTTGATAGCATACTTGGAACTCTTTTGGATATTCCTGGCAAAACAAAGGATCATGCAAAAGCCCGGTATGATTTGAAAGAGATGGGAATTAGAAAGAATCTTCATCCAAAAGATACTGGAGATAATAAAAGAACAAAGTTTGCAAAAGCTTGCTTCTCAATGACAAATGGAGAGAAATCAGTTTTTTGTGGAGTTTTAAAGACAGCCAAGCTACCTGATGGTAGTGCCTCTAATATATCTAGGTGTGTGCAATTGGATGAAAGAAAATTGTCTGGTTATAAGACCCATGATGCTCATTTCATGTTACATTACTTACTTCCAATACCAATTAAAAGCATCCTTCCGAATCATTTGGCTATTCCTTTGATTCGTCTATGTTCCTTCTTCCAACGTTTGTGTAAAAAAGTTATCATATTGGAGGAACTAGATTGCTTAGAAGTAGAGATTAGGGAAACAATAAATCAGTTGGAGCAAATTTTTCCTCCGTCATTTTTTGATATAATGATTCATTTGCCTATTCATTTGGTGAATGAAGTGAGATTAGGCGGTCCAGTTCAGAACCGATGGATGTATTCCACTGAAAGAGAAATGGGTACATTCAAATCATATATCCGCAACAGACGTTATCCAGAAGGTTGCATAGCAGAGGCGCGTGTGGGAATAGACTGTATGAATTTATTTTCTAGATATCTGCATAGGGCAGTACAAACCAGATTTAACAGAAGAGCCTGAAATAATGATGAATGTGACCCAAGTGATGCAAAAACAGTGAGTTTGTTTCCTAAAAAGGGATGTCCTTTAGGAGCAAAGAAAACTGATCCAGTTAGTTTAGATAACAAGTCACTAAGTCAGGCACATGAATACTTATTGGGAAATTGTGATGAGATTCAAGAATATATTAGGTACTTTAATTTTATATAGTATTTTCTTTTGTATAATTAATTTTTAACTTATTTTATTCATCATTTTAACAAAAAAGTACATATTGTGTAGAGAGCATGAGCAAGAGGTTAATAATCATCCACGAAGATCTAAATGGAGCAAGGCCAAGGATCATTGTCAAAACTTCTCTCAATGGTTTGAAATTCGTGCTTTGCAAGAGGATGTGCCTGATTTGATAAAAGAATTGTCTAGAGGACCAAATTCTGTTGCTAAAAGATACTCTGGGTATCTCATTAATGGATATAGATTCCATATTAGGCAACATGATGCAAGGCATAAAACACAAAATAGTGGTGCTACAGTTGTTGCCTCAACTACAAGCTTTGCAAGCTCAAAAGATAAGAACCCGATTGCTGCAGATTTGACTTATTATAGTAGAATAGTTGATATAGTTGAGTTAGACTACTTTAGTCATTTTAAGGCTGTTCTGTTTAAGTGCGATTGGTATGAGGTTGAAAAAGATATTTATGTCCTTACTTATGTCTATTTTAACAAGAGATGCTCTCAGGAAGAGCCTTTTGTGCTTGCATCTCAAGTACATCAATGCTTCTATGTGCAAGATCCATATGATCAAGATAGACATTATGTTATGAAGACTGTTCCGAGAGACTTATTTAACATGAGTGATGAATTTGAATCTGATCTCCCACAAAGTTATGAAAATGAGTTCTCTGAACACTTGATGGGACCATCCATACCAGAAGATGATGGTGAAGTTACCTTATTAAGGACTGATGTACCAGAAACTGTTATTGATGTGTCTTCGGAGGAATTTGTTACTCAACAACTTGAGGTTGAGTATGAAAAATAGTTTGAAGATGAGTCTGAAGATGAGTCTAAAGAAGAGTGTGAAAACGGGTCTGAAAATGAGTATGAAGACGATTCTGAAGATGAGTCGGACGATGAGTCTGAAGATGAGTTTGAAGATGACACACCATGAGTTTTAATATTTTTGTGATGACCATATAGTGCTAACTCACTCTTTTTGTTATTTCACTGTTTTTGTACAAACACCTTAAGATATCTAAGTATGTTGTTGTTGTTGGTACTTGTAAATTGTGGTATTTGCTGCTTGTATAGGGTGAATCAAGCATGTGCTCCAACAAACATGACTATACTAGATCTAGTCAGCTTTCTTGCTGTTCCTAGAGTCAATGATTATACTTACTTTTCTCAGATAAGAATTCTGAATTATGATGCTTTCTAATTCAGACATGCTTAATGAAGTTCTTCTGTAGATGGCATAGGAGGTTCTTTTTTTTTTTTCTGCATGATCAAGCTGTTATACTTTTGTCCTATTTTGTAGTGTTCCTAATGTATAATTTTTTTGCTGCAATAGAATTTTGCTGGGATGATGTGAAGGTTGATAAACATTGAGAAGGCAGTGAAGGCAACACAGTGAAGGCAGTGAAGGCAGCACAGTGAAATAAGTCCTCTGTGTGTAGTACTCCCTTATCTTTCTGGAAGCTAATGATTAGTTCACTACTCATTCTCATTATCACAATGAAGGCAACACATTTAAATCTTTTAAAGTTATATTTCTGTAGCTTTTTCTATCTAACAATCCTAGAACGTATATGATTATGAAGCTAGAACCTCTTCTCTTTGCAGGTTTGTTTTTTCTATTTAACAATCACCTGATTATTGTTTTGTAGGTTAACTTACTGTAGGGAAAGAAAAAAAAGAGATTAAAAGAAAGCAGGAAGAATAAGTCAATCAGCAGCACTAAAGAAAAAAGGTTCGAATCCGAACAAAGCTCAAAGTCCACTGAAGAATCTGAACTTTGATATGCAATACCGATCAAGTACTGAATTGGCTAACCAATTCAAGATTAAGAGAGAACAACTTGCTAACGAACACAATGATAAAGCTAAGAAAGAGCATGCACCAATAGCACATAAAAGAAAGAATTCTGAGGATTTGATTCCACAACAAGGAAAGAGTAAATTGCTTGAGTATAAATCAGTAGTTCATTCGTCTTCGAGGGAAGAGCTTGGTACCTCACATATGGTTGTTGGGAAAGGACAAACTAAAAAGAGCTTATTTCAATCCGGAGAGTCCATTCAAGAGAAAGGAACTAAACTTCCTATGCACAACTTTAGGTTCCAAACGTCTTCCAAGAAAGGTGTTACTGCTTCAGTACATGTGACTGGGGAAACACTTGGTAATGCAGAGGAACAACATGATATTCAAGATCTACTAAACTTCAAACAGGTGAAGAGAAACTCGGTCCTACCGGCCACAAGTCTTGATCAGTTTCTGGAAGAACAACAACTACAAAAAGAACATGATATTCATGATCTACCAAACTGCAAGCAGGTAAAGAGGAAGTCGGTCATACCAGCTACTAGTCTTGATCAGTTTAAAAAAAAACAAGCAATACACATAGATGATGAAATTGGCATTGATTGTGGTACAGAAGGTATTTCTTAAGCGTTGTAAGATTTATTACTTATATAAAAGAAATTTCTTATTTCCTTACTGTTACATCAATCTAGGAATATTGGAGCCGAAAAAAGTTCAAGGAAAAACAACATGTAAGGATATTCACGCAAGAAATTTGGAAGAAAGAAAGAAGGTGACATTTGATAAAGGACAAGCAGTGGGCCCAACTTGTAAGATAGTGTTGGAATTAACCAACTTTATAGGAACAATTTCAAGGAACTCTAGATTCATCAACTTGATGTACACTAGTTGGCATGCGGTGCTAAAAGATAAGAAAAAGCGCATGTGGGAATATATCAATGTAAGAACAATCAATTTTGAGATTGCATATTTTATTGTTTATTTTTACTGACTGAAGCTAAATATATTTTATTTTGCATCGTCCAAATTCCTAATTCCAGTAGAAGGAAAGAAGTGGGTGATGACTAGTCTTCGTGATGCTTGGAGGCGATACAAACAAAAAATTAAAGAGAGATATTTTGATAAAAATAGTACCGTTGAGGATATGCTAGCAAAACGTCCTGATGACATGCCAGAAGAACAACTTCGTCAATTGATCAAGTATTGGAAACACCCAACTGTTCAAGTAAGGCTAAAATAGTGCATTTCTACTCTTCAACTTATTTTGCATCATATCTATTTTTTTTTTGTTTTATTTATTAATTCAAAGATCTTTTTTTATTTTAATATAGGCCATGTGTGAGATGAATTCTCGAAATAGGAAAAAACAAAAGTGGAGGCATCGAATGGGACTTATTAATTTTTCAAGAGTACGCGTGGCATTGGTAATACTTAGCAGACATTTCGTAAAAAAATTGAATTTCATGAGACTAATCCACTTTGTCTTTTTGGATGACAAACTTACCATATCTTAAGCTTTCTTTAGAACATATTGATACGTTTTTTAATCTCTTTTGATATAATTTGTAGCGTGCAACCAAAGAAAACAATGAGGAACCATCAAAGTCTGAAATGTTTATTGCAACTCGTACAAAGACGGGAAAGGATCTTCACACCGATACTCAAGTTGCAATAGTAAGTTTTTTAAAGTGGATTAGTGATGAATTTAATTCAGGTTTAAAAGTTATATATTGCTAGGAGGGTGATATTTTTATTTTAATATGCTTGAGTCGCTGGAAAGAAAGAAGTACTTACATTTAATATGAATGTCAATTTAATTCAATAGGCTGAACTTCAGAATCGCCAAAATTCTGGGGAAACAACAGATGATGCTTTTACGGCAGTGTTTGGAAAGGAGCAGCCTGGTCGAATTAGGTGCTATGGTAGATCAGTGACAACAACTTCTTTAAAGAAAGATGAGGAAACTAACAAGATAAAACAGAAACATGCCAATGGAATCACTTCTCTAAAAGAAGAAATTAATGAAATGAGAGAATAAATGCGACATTTCTTTAGTCAATTGCTTCAAAACAACCCTGGATTGAATGTTCGAGATATGCCAGGGTGTGTTCGATCTAACATTTCTTCACCTATTGATGCGAGTAGTGCATAAGCTGTAAAAGGCCAAAATCTTCCACATTCTTCTAGGTCAACTCATGACCCAGATCTTCAAAAGGTATTTTGTATTTTTTCAAATGTTCTTTTTTAGAGAAATAAGTTAGAAAATTAGTATACCAAAGAACTATATCCTATGTGATTGTAAATTTGTGATAGTTGGCTAATTAGTCCTCTCAGTTTCTCTGAAAGTCCTCTTTGTGGTAGTTGGCTTATTAAGGTAGTTAATTTGCAAGCTTTTTAACTTCATGTTTGAATCTTTCAAAGTAGCTCTAGTTTTGGCATGATTGATCTGGAATTTATGGTGGTTCTGCCCGTAGTTCTTCTTCCCATTGGTTGCTGATTTGTGTGTAGTTGTGGCTCCAGCCGGCGGTCCTTGCTTGGTAGTGATAATAGGAGTCGCAAGGCCAATAGGTATATCATTTTTAGCCTGATTGTTGTCTTAGTGGAACAGCAAATGATTGGATAATAGTATAGGGAGCTGGTTCAGGGTAAAAGTTGAAGGGTTGTCGATTGACTTTTCGAGCTCTTTCTAATACCTTTATTGATCTCTTAAGGAGGATCCATTTCTTCAGCTTGCTCCAGTTCTTAGACTTTGGTGGCTCAAATTTACCCTTGGTGATAGTATTATTAATTAGCAACAAAATCCATTGTTTCTAATTGACTGTCACGATGTCTCAAGCTTTCGTAGAGTGAATTTGTACTGTTTTGCTCTTTGCCATCTGTATGATCAGTTTTTGGTGGCTCTTCATCTTGAACAATGTCATTAGTGACACTCTGTGTATTGGATGAATCATCTCGAGTCGGTGTTGTTAGGATCTGACTAACTGCTTCTCTTATGAGATTGACAACATCATATATGCTGAAACTTCTCCCATTGTGGCTTATATATATCATCATTTTCTTCCGAGAAATCTTAAGGAGAGTTATATGTATTCGTTACAGGTAGTGTTTTGTTGTTATTTATCTCATCGAGTTGTTCATTCCCTATTTTTGATACAACATCTGAAAGAATATGCTGTGATATCAAATGCTACATGCTGATGTGCTTCTGTTTTTTCACCTATTTTCTGTATGTTTCGTCTTCATCTTCTGCTTCTGTTATCTGTTTGTTTGCATAAAATTTAATACATAAGGAGAGGAGTTTTGTCTTCATCTTCTGCTTCTGTTATCTGTTCGTTTGTAGAAGTGTTCATGACTTACATTCACTACTTGTTGCTGATTGATAATATGAGTGCTCTTGAACTTCTGGAAGAAGAATTCTCTCGATTGCTTCTTGTACTAGCTTAACTGCTAAAAGCCTAGCGCTTCAATCTCTTGGTTATTTGCATCCTGATTTGTAGTCATTAACTCTCTTTCGGAATAACTCAAAAATGAATCAGAACTTTTTGCTGCACAAGACTTGTTGCCACTATCCTTGTGATTATCTTCATCAGCTCCACGGATCACTTTGCTGTCCAATTTTGTAGATTCATCCGAAATCATATGTCTATGATCAGGCTCCACATGCTCCTATTCTACAATCTGATTTTTTGTTCATAATTGGTTTTAATATTTAATTTTATTTTAAATGTGTAGGGAAATGGAGATGGTCAAATTTGAAGGGTCGCCACAAGTCAATTTGATCTCATTGAAGTGGATGATGAAGAGTTTTTGAACTATTGTAAATGTTTGAATACGTTATATTTGATTTTGTGAAATATATTCATTGCTAGAATATATTGAACTATTGTAAGAGTACTTTTTGAACAATTATTGTGTACACATATTTAGAATATTGTTTTATAAGTATGTGTATGTACACAAGGCATACTATCTTTTGAAGTTTATTGCAAATCTATATATTTGAATTACTTATTAGCTAATTTGATGCTTGTGTTTATTTATTGCAAAACAATATTGGTGCTTTTTAATTAGAAATTGTGGCTTATAAATCTTTTATAGCCAAAATAATATTGCCACACTTAAAAGTGTAGCCAT